GCACCAAGCAGGTCTTGGGGGACCCATTTACTCACCTTTCACCATTTGCCAAGCATATGCAAGTGCACATTAATTGTATTCATCGTTTACCCTAATGGTTCCTGACATGTTTGGCTTGAATCCTCTTCAACTGCTGAATTCAGCTGGTCCAAATCGAGAAATTGTGGTCTCTTAGATTGAGGTTTATCTTCAAGGATCTCTTCGCCAGCCGAAAAGATCTAAAACCACTTTGCCACTTTGCCGCTCACTAACTGTACCCTCTCCAAACAAGCCTCATATTCTTCCTAATAGGGCACATTTTGAGCCCAAACTGAACTCATACAGTACACAGTACACAAGCCTTAATAACTGCGTTGGGCACTACAATCATACTTAACCAGGAATATTTGAACTATCCCTGTCAGATGTGACGTGTTCTCTATGTTGGCCTACGAGCCAATAATTAAGCTGTCAAAAAATGTCCAATACATGACCTCAAACTGTAGATAGGATTACTACAGGACGAGAATTGTCGGCATTTTAAAAACCGCACTAACTTTGTTGGTTACCTGGTAAACTGATATTTTCTTGATTCGCCGCCATTTATTCGGCGGATACCTCACGTGATGCATTGATCCAAACGCTTCCACGGTTTCTGAGAAAGCCTTTGGCCCGCGAGGTACCTTTCAAGTGGTCGACGAGGCCGGCTTGCGTCTGAGGGTAGGGCCTCTCGGACATGGCGCCGCCTGCGCCGTCGCGGGGCGACGCCTCCCCCTCCCTCCCTCCCACGACGCCCAACACTTCCCACACACTCTCGCGACCCATTGGTGAGCGGGTGGTCGGGCGCACATCTACATGAATCAGCTCATGATCGGATCATCCAAGGACATACCACACTCGCCTTAATCACCTTAACAGAAAAAACAAAACTATTATTCATTAATTTAACAGTTATTGCTCTTTTATGTGAAAATGGTGTATGTGAAAATTAGTTCATGTGTCTTCAAAGTGCAATTGTATCAATTAGTACGAGGTCCCATTCTGGGTAATCCTCATATGTACTTTTTATAAAATTGTGCTGTTAAAAATCCTGAAAGTCAAACGTGTCAAGCAAGAAAGCCTCTCACAATGGACCGGGTAATTTTTCCTTCCAACACGGACGTTTTCGTCACATATCATTATGCACATACACTCACACACACCAGTAGACCTTGCCAGGGACGTTGTGGGAGGAAGAAAAGAGGAGGAGTAAATTTTTCCTTGTCTCTCTAATTATGTTGCGAAGGATCCCACAATAAATAACACTTTTTTTGTATTTGAAAAATGAAGTGATCTTAACTTGCTTTGCCCTTTCACCGCCGCCACGCTCCATCTCGTACTGTCCCTCTCCGCTCTGTTCGCTTCCCCGCACCGCCCTCCTCCTCGCCTCGGCACCGTCGAGCACTCCGCACCCCACTCACAATGTTGGGGACCACCAGCACTCCCCGGCCTCGCCGCCACCACATTCTCTTCTCCAGCTCCGCCGTCCTCGCCTTGTCCCGCCCTACCTAGAAGCATCGAGGGTTGCATACTCATTCCCAAGCACAAACCATTGTGTGTATTAAGGCCCATTCACAAAGCAAACATAAACATAGGCATAGTGTTAACATAAAAGTTAGGACCACGTCCATAAGCGGACTCATTCACAATGCGTTCGCATAAGCATAACACGTAAGACGTTAACTTCAAAGCTTGCAAGATTCAAGCTTCTGTGCTTTTGCTTAAGTAAGACGTACAAAAATGGACCAATCACGGAACCGTAACTCAAAATCGAGAATCGAAATTGGAGTGAAGTCGATAAAAGAACTAACGCCATATGGTCTATGGACACAGTCGATATCGTGGAATCGATTCTCACATCCAAGCAATAGTAAACCAGAATGACTCACAGCCAATAGAAACTCTTATTTTGCTTACGTTTATGTCAGACATTTGAATAATTTCAGTCTATCACTTATGTTAATGTTTATGTCTACTCGCTATGTTTATGTTTACGTTTGCATTGCGAATGGGCGATTGATTGATTTGCGAATCCGAGCGCGTCAACTGACGTGGTCATAGCTCCCGTAAGTGTTGTGCATGATTTTATCACGAGAGGTGGCGGTGATCTTCCCCTGCTTGATGGCGAGATCCAGTGCCGACCTACCCTTGCGGAGTTTTCTCCAACTAGGTATCTCTCGTCTGCGGGACCCCGCTCCACCCGAGACAAGCTTTGTTGCGAGTTTTGAGACTCTAAAGAAACCATAGATTGGTTTTGCGTATCCAACGAAACCATAGATACCTCTCACATAGCAGGAGGCTGCATAGTTTTTCGGCAATTTATGCATTAATAGCATCGTAGGTTTTCAACGCCGGAGTGAAAACCTAAGTAAAACCTAAAAAACTAAGTAAGAGAACGTTTACGGACTGGTAGGCCGAGGACCAGTTGTCGTTGTAGGTCCAATCGCTTCGTTCACGACTACGGCGGACATCCTCAGTGGCGGTGGGATCGCGGGTGCAGTATCCGGGGCGGCGACTGGCTGGCGACTCGGACCGGAAACGTACTCTTACAATTTATGTCTATATTCGAAATATTCGTTTCCGCTAATATTAGTGATTTCATTCACACTTCCGGTCAATAGTTGTAGTTAAAATTAGTTTTTTTTCTTCTCTCCAGCAGTTTGCTTTGTATGCGCTCTTTAAAGAAACGCCACGAACCAGTGCACTGTCACCACCTGTGCGGCCATCTCTAGGGCCGCGTGCGTCGGCCTTGTCGTCGCTGCTGAGCAACGGCGCCGCCAGCAGAGGGATGGCGACCGTCGTCCACACCGCCTTGCCGTGATCCACCGCAGCCCCCGCCGCCCCCGCTGCCCTCGCCACTCCCTCCGAAGTCTCCAGGCCGAGGTAGGCACGCCGCCGCAAGGGGCTTAGCTCTTCTAAGTTGTATGGGCTAACATTAGAACCGGTAATTCGAAACGCAGTCGGAGCCCCAAACCAAATTGCATTTTTATTTACCGGTGAGTCGTTGGATCTACGGCAGCGCTCGTGAGTCGCCGATGAAGCTACAAGACAATCAAAACCAACTAACAGGTTCACGATGCTATTTCCAGTTTTGCGAAGAGAATATTCCACATACCGTAACCGCGATTTTTTATTATTTCATGCACATTTCTTATTCATAGTAGTAAATAACTAAAGAGAAGGAATTACAAATTTTTAATATATATATTCCATATTTATAATTCTTCCACGAGTACAAACAGGTGTCGTTGTGTGTGTAAAAGTGTGTTCCTAAAAATATTATCGATAATTGATTCCTTTAACATTTCGGCCTCATTAGGTAGGAATACCCGAAAAAATTTGTATAATTATCTAATTCCGTCAAATCCTGCGTACTAAATAAAAATATAAAAATCTACACTTTTCGAAAACCAAAGAGATGCTCACAGAACGGATGGTCATTTGTGTACTCGTAAGAAGCTCTCCAGTTTCTAAACATAAATCACAGGGAAGTAACACATCTTCGTCACGCTCCAAGATGATACAGAATTTAGCTATCAGAATCCCGATACCCGATTCCATCATAACACAAAATTAAATTCTTCTTGTTTGTATTGAAGAAATAGATAATTGGTATTACGATGTTTATCAGCATGCTTAATTGATTCGAGTCACATTAGCAGAAGTTTCATAATTTTATCGGACACGAGATGACCAAGAACGACAAGATTGACCAACTGCTATGTAATATCAAAGGGCTTCTCAGCCAAATGATACATGAACTGTAAATGTTTCTCTGATTGCTAAACTACTGGAAACTACTGGATTGCTAAACTACTGCAAAGAAAGGATAAAGAAGTTTAACAAATTCAATGGCGGTAACGATTTTCATGAGTATGGTTTGTTTAGAATAGTTATTTAATGCACTAAAGAACATTGAAATAACTTACTAAAACTTTACTAAAACGCAGTTGCGAATGACAAGTAAAATGTCACATTTATTAAAACATGAGTAAAATCTGTAGATCGGCGTTTTACCTCTCAGTAATATGAGTTAAATGTATGTACTACAAATAAAAGAAGAATTTCAAGTCAGTTAATGTTCGTCGTATACGATGGAAGACGTAAGCTGCTTGTACAGAAAGTCCATTTTCGTGGTGTTCCGCAGGATCTGCTCCGACTGCGGAGCGCCCTCCTGCCCTGCCCGTCGCCATGCGTCCGTGTCGCCCCGCCCACCCGCCACCGTCGCCGTGATGTCGGCGTCGTCCGATGCTGCCCGCTCCGCTCGCTCCTCCCGCTCGCCCGGCCCCCGCGGCCGCCAGCGGGAATCCACGCGGAGTGGGCAGCCGTCGGCGCGAGAGGCCGCTCCGCTGCGCGCCAGCACCGCGGGTGGGCCCTCGCACTCTTCTTCCTCCACACCCTCATCCTCCCTCGCTTTCTTCTTCTCCTCCCACCAGCTCCCCCTCACTCGCATTGTTCCTCCCCACTCGCCTTCTTCCTCCCCACTTGCCTTCTTCCTCCCCACTCGCCTTCTTCCTCCCCACTCGCCTTCTTCCTCCTCACTCGCTTTTTTCCTCCTCACTCGCCTTTTTCCTCCTCACTCGCCTTCTTCCTCCTCACTCGCCTTCTTCCTCCTCACTCGCCTTCTTCCTCCTCACTCGCATTCTTCCTACCCACTGGCATTCTTCCTACCCACTCGCATTCTTCCTACCCACTCGCATTCTTCCTATCCACTCGCCTTCTTCCTCTTCACTCGCCTTCTTCCTCTCCATTCGCCTTCTTCCTCTTCACTCGCCTTCTTCCTCCTCAGTCGCCTTCTTCCTCCTCACTCGCATTCTTCCTACCCACTCGCATTCTTCCTACCCACTCGCCTTCTTCCTACCCACTCGCCTTCTTCCTACCCACTCGCCTTCTTCCTACCCACTCGCCTTCTTCCTACTCACTCGCCTTCTTCCCCCTCCGTCGCCATGCTCCTCCTCCCTCACCCTTCCTCTTTTCCTCACGTGTCGTTGAATTCCTCATTCAATTCACTTCTATAAATTGAATGGCACCCTGAAACATGCATCCAAGTATTACTAAAATCCTTTATACTTCTTTAATTATTTCTGAAACAAACAAACGGCGTTTTTTACACAATAATTGAATAAATATTGCTTTTTGTCATTTCGCTGTGAAATATTTAGTGTGCTGCAAATTTCGAGTAGAAATTGTGTTGTTCCATTACGTATATTAATTTGTATTTATTGCGAGTCTAAGTATTATCAAAACAAAAATTAACTTTGTTTTATATGACATTTTTACAACTTTTTTATTTTTTATTATTTTTATACGACAGCTCTGTAATGGCCCGATCACTCGTGGCCTTACTTCGGCACAAGCTCAGTGCGCCGTGCGATGACAAACACACACACACACACACACACACACACACACACACATGTGTGTGTGTGTGTGTGTGACGTGACCATGATCTCCCTATCTACTTTATAGCGCGTGCCAGTGACGATGCCTCTCGAGAGTCTTCACCTAGAGATCTGAACCGGCTGGACAAGAGCAAGAAGGGCAAGGACAAACCTAAGAAACCACCCAAATCCCCCAAATGGCAGAAACCCAAAAGGGCGAGTGAAAAAAGCGTTGAACGCGAAGCGACGAGCGAAGCAAATCCACAAGTGAACAATGAGCAAACGGAAGGACCAAACTGGAGGGAGAACTGGAAAGAGTTATTGAAGATCCAAAGAGGCGAAATCGCAAATACGTCGAAGGAAACTCGCTTGTGTGAAATTAAGTTTAATCCATCAGTATTGGAGGACAAGCTAGAATCATTGAATTTGCCAACCCCGAGCATCAAACCAACCAAAACCGAAAGTAAAACAAAAACTTCTGTAGATCAATCGAGACCCAAATCAGCAAAAAGCCAAAATAGCAAAAAGTCAGAACCTTCCAAGGGCGAGTCAGGGATTGAGTCGCCCAAATCCGGTTCAAAACCCGGCTCGCGCAAGGGCAGAGCGAGAACAGATTCACCCAAGGGAGTACCGAAGATAAATCAATCTGAAGGCGAGACTAAAAAGGATAGTACTAATATAGTCCCACCTAAAAACCAAAAAAGAGAAGGAACATCCAATGCTAAAACTACTGCTGTGTCTAAAAGCACCGCGCCACCAAAGGTAGGGCCCAGTACAGAACCCAAAGTCGTGCGATGGGATCAAAATGTCTCCAAGGACGAGCCCGGAGAAGCCTCGGCAAATGAGGTCAAAACGGAATCGGAGGAGCCGCTGGAATCACAGAAACAGCCCACGCTGGAGAAACCGCAGGAATCACAGGAGCCGTTGAAACCAGACGAGCCACAGAAGTCGCAGGCGCCGGGTGAAGAGCAGAAACAGGAGGCTCCGCAGGAGCTCTCGGAAGCCAAGGAGCCAAATGCTTTGCAAGAGCCGGAGGCGAGTATTTTGTTTTTTGATATAAAGTTAAAACATTATGTATAAATAGAACCCCGTTGCAATTTTCTTAAGAAACATCAGTTATTCCAAAGTTTAGAAGGCGTCACTACTACTGAAGTTAGTTGTTGAAGTTGGTAAATTTTCTGTAAAGTATTGTGTTTGTAAATTAGAAGAGATATAATTATGGAAGAATCTATGAATAATTTAAGAATCAGTAATATAAGAAAGTTTTATAATAAGATGTTATGCAGGGGTAGAAATAATTGGAGAAAAATATGGATAGTAAGCGTGATAATAGTGTAAATAGCGAAGATGTTACAAAAGGAAGAAATGTTAAGCAGGGTGAGGAAAATAATATACACGTAACACCAACAATATATAATATATTATATAGGTGTGTAGTGCTTTGGAAACTACCCGAATATTTAAGAGTAAAGAATAAGAAGAGAAGTGAGTAAGAATTGAGAAAGATAGGATCTGTATAGCATGGTTTGGGATAAGAGACGAAATGAAAACTAATATGTTCTGGATATACAGTTAAACAGTGAAAACGTGTAGATTCGGAAGAGAAGATTGACTAGAATAAGACGAAAGTGGCGAGAAGGAATAAGGTTTGAAACATTGATGCGCGAAAGGAGGGATAAGAGAATAAAAGAGACAGAGAATATTTAAAATGGTGAAACAGATATTAAATGAATTTATTGGATGATTAGTTACAGACATAATAAGGAATGATTTTGTTTAGTTAAATTCCAGAAACGAAGAAAGAAGTAAAACAGTACCATTGTTTGTAAATATAAAGACAAGTAGAAGGATTATTAAAATTTGTTAGAGGATGATAGTTTAGAATAACTGAGTAGGGCGAAAGATGAGTGAAAAGTTTAAAGTTACCGTTAAAGAAGAGAGGTGGTTTAGGAAAAGATAGAGTAGGAATAAACTGAAAATAAAATAAGCTTATTTGAAGAATATTAGAGGCTATAAAAAGTGTGACATGAAACAATTAGGTAGATATACGAAGAGAAAGATGAACTAAGTAAGAACACAGGACGTTGAAAATTTGAAAAGTGTGTTCATAAATAGTACATGTTAAAATTTGCAATAAATGAAAGTTATAGTACTTCGGAAAAGGATTGTGAATTAAAAATATATAAACTAATGCTGAAAAGCAGAAAAGAAAGGTACGAGCGAATTTAATTGTACCCCGAAAAGGAAGGAGTTGTTAAATAAACGGGCTTACATAATGATATTAAAAGATGACCGTAAATGTAAATTCAAGTCCGAAAAGTAAATTTAGAGATGTGTGCTATAAGTAGTCACAATGGTTGAATTTTGAACCTTTTCATTTCAATGAATTAATTACAAATACTTGCGAAGTAGTTTCGTGAATGAGGCATGTCAAGCTAAGCAGTCTCTATTTTTTGGCATAAGTTTCGCATTCCGCAAACTTGGTCAGCACTGAGGGACCCTTAATCGCACAATCGCCCCTTGCAATATGAGAGCTCGTTGCTACGTCTGTCCGGCCGGCGCGTAGAGATTCCCTTTCCCGGAATGGAAGGTCGTCCTCTGCCTCCTCACTCGTTACGGTGCATGCGCTTCGCAACAGCGCCGACGTTGGCTGCTTTCCCGCTACAGACCGACGGCTGTTCGCGAACTTTCGTCGATTCAAATAAAAGATAAACATTCATTTATTTAAACTGCAAATGGGCATAACCCGGTGGCAGCTAATTACATAAATAAAATAATATTACTAGCATGCAAATAATATAATAATAATAATAATAATAATAATAATAATAATGATAATGATAATGATAATGATAATGATATAAGAACTGTCTAATTCATAGCATTAAATTACCTTAATTTAAGAAACACCTCTTTCATGCTTCACAGCAAGAGGAAGTCGTTTCAATCACTTATTATTCGAACAATCTATATCGTAGATTGTGAGCATTTCATCTCTTTGACTTGTGCTTTTCATTTGTCTCCAGCTTGGTATGAATTGGGGGAATATTATCGTTCTCAGCATTCCGAAATCTAAAGTTTTAACAACATATTTTTTCACGTTTCACTGCATATTTTGTGAGATTATTTGGCATTTTATACTTTACAAAACTCCGTCAAAAAGGCTCTCCCCCCCGCAGGAGTCCGACGAGTCCGAGGAGTCGTCGGAATCCGATGAGCCGCAGGAGCTCGAGACCCTGGAGGAGTGCGACGAGCCGCAAGAGCTCGAGGCTGCACGGGAGAGTGAAGAACCGCAGGAGCCGCCGGGACCCGGTGAGCCGCAGGAGGCCGAAGCGCTGCTGCAGGAGAGTGAGGAGCCGCAGGCGCCGTCGGAACCCGGTGAGCCGCAGGAGGCCGTAGCGCTGCAGGAGGGTGATGAGCCGAAGGAGCCGCAGGAGGCACAGGAGCCCGCGGCCGCCGGTGACGCTGCGGAGAAGGGCAAGGGCGAGGGCGAGGGCGAGGTCGTGCCCGCCCCCAAGGACTACCTGGACGCCAAGCTGGAGGCGCTGCGGCAGCAGCTGCAGGAGCTGCTGGAGGAGCTGCCGCGGCCGGCGGCGGCGCCGGCGCCGGAGGCGCCCACGAGCGCGGAGGCGGAGGCGGAGGCGGGGGCGGTCGCGGACGGGAGCGGAGGGCAGCCGGCGGCCGAGGGCGAAGGGGAGGGCGCCGCGCAGACCCCGCCCCCGCCCCCGCCACCCCACCAGTTCAGCGACGAGTGCTGCTGTGAGGTACGGGTGCAACGCTCCCTAGGCGCTCGCGGAGCACGTGCATTCACCCCTTTTCGTAAGACCGTACTGTTACATCGCCATAACGCAACCAATTAGAGAAACGGAAAAACGCGCTTAACGGCCGGTGTCCGTTAGGGATTTTAACAGTCCACCTCTTGTTACGAACAACAGAAACTAATTAGTTGAATGAAAATGTGTGAAGGGGTATGATTACTCTTATTCACATAAAAGTTATATCAAATTTACATGAACGTTCTTAAAACAAAGTGATTTTGCGAAAAATATGGCCAATAAAACAAATAATTCTTCTTTACTTTATATCGCCCTAATGAGTTTATTAACTGCATGTAACGAGCATTGGATTCATGTACCACACCTAACTCGCGGCAGCATCCATATTATGATATCACAGTACTGCCTCCGGATAATTACTAGTACTTTTTATCAATCCAGGCAGTCGACCTGGATCTAGGTATTATTTTCAACAGGCATGACTCTCGGGAGCCCCTTGTGGCGTCTAGAAGAGATATTCTCCACTAGATGTGGATCACATGTAATAATGCCCGAAATGTTTGGTCAGTATAACTCGAGGTCTCCTTGGGAAGGGACGGCGCGAGAATTAAATTTGCTGGGAACCATTTATCATTTTCTTACATGTCCTTAGTCTGAGACAAAACCCCGAGGATTTTTTACCCATAACTCAACCTGTCACATGCGAGATTGTAGTCGCAAATTGAGATCTTTGAAGACAGCTGTAATGTGAGCCAGACTTCATTCCACCGGGAACGGTATTCCACTCAACTAGTCCTATTGACTGTATAGCACATCTCTTTTTAGCAAGTTCGTTCATTAGAGTGGTCATATCTCAGAATGAAATAAATACCGT